TGGGTTAAGTGTTGTTTGTGTAGAAATGCTTTGACAAAATAAACTAAATTAAATTTAGAAATTGAAGCCAGTTGTCATGTGATGACAACATTTTGCCATTGTGTACCGTACTTGTTGCATAAAAAAGTTTGACTAAGCAAAAAACAGGTAAGGTGATTCTGAATGAAAAAGCCAATATGCAATCCAGTCTCCTCAGACAAAGGTCTTTCTAACATTTGATTGAGAAATTTGTGAGAAGTGCCAGACAGACAAATTCCAACATATTATTTTTATAGATATAGTTTCATGATATTCTTACAGATAATGACCAAATATGAAATCTTATGAATTGAGCTAAATATTTGTATTTATTCTGAATAGTACATAACTTTTAAAGTTGTAACATTTTTCTTCAAGGCCTCTGTATTTGTTGAAAGCTGACGCTGGTATGGGCTAGCAGAACTGGGCATCTGAAACTTCTCTGTCCAGATGGACTCTCGTGTTAACGTGACTATTGCAATATGTCCTTATCTGGTCGAGCTTTAGTGTGCCATCCTCACCCTTTGGAGCCACATAAAGCTGCATCAGTGAACTTTACTCATGGTGACACAAGAAATATGGACCCCAGCAGTGTGGGGAGTCAACTTCCCTACAAAACTATTTCACCTCGATTCACAGGATCATCTTGTCAAGCTTTGCGGCATGCGGTGGCAGCCTTAAATCGATTGGATGATTTTACATGTGAAAAAATTGGTTCAGGTTTTTTTTCGGAAGTTTTCAAGGTAAGCACAAATTTCGTTTTGTGGAATTTTGTTCTCAAGGTTGCATATAAATGTAACAGAAATCTGTTCACGTATTTCTTTCAATATGTCTGATGCTGTCTCCAAGAGCTAATTCTTGAAAAATTAAAACTTGGTATTTTAATGTTGAAATTCTCATTTGCCCCACATGTAAAAGGGAGATCTCTTAAAAATTAATAAGGATTAAATCTTGAGTGGTTGAAGTATTTTGATGGAAAGTGTTTTTGGTTGTGGAATATGTGCAGTTCTAATATTTTGGAAGAAGAAGAACGTTTATTCTAAATAACAAAATATCTACACAAAAAATTACTTTAATCTTAAAACATATTCCTCCAAATCTGACTGTCCAAATGGTGGTTTTAATTTTCTGATAAAAATTAACAATTTTTAAAAAATGTTATGTACAGTATCTGTGCCAAGGAAGTTTTTTGTAACTGATGGTTTGGATAAAATATAAAAAATATTTCTATAAGTAGTTCTAATTACCTTTAGATAATATATCAAGAGAATTTTATTTGCATATGTCTACTTGTCCAATAAACAATAAATGCAATTGCACAACCACTCAAAAAAAAGGCCTTTCTGATTCATGAGATGATCCAAAGGAAGTTTTCACAGTTTTTTTGAATAATGTTCCATTCATTTTGTTTTTGTTAGAATGGAGATAGAGACAATGTAAACTTATTGAAACTTCTCAGATAAATAGAGTATGTGCTTGTAAAATCAAACAAAAAGTTTTTTCTTTTATATCTAAACTTAATGTGGTGTTGTATGTATGTATAAGTATCTAAAAAAACATTACTGTATTTGCCTGAATATAATGTCCATCCAATTTTGAAAGGTTAAATTGAAGAAATTTTTGTTTTTTTTAAACATCAGTTGTACAGAATGTATTGAATAATTTCTAAATACAGTAAACAGCTGTTGTTGTGTTAAACATTTTTGGAAATCTTTCATTGAAATTTTTTTACGTGTCAATTTTTCAAAATTTATTGAAAAGCTTGTAAGTGGTAATACACTAAGCTAATCATTCATCTTTGCATAAATCTTCATCGTTGCTGGAATTGTTGCTACCATCACATTTACTTCTTTCAATCTTGGCTTCATCCTCTTCTGATTCCTACAATCATGTCATCATCTGTCCCATCAATTGCATTGAATGTGCTACATTTTTTTGAAAACTTTAATGATGCTTTAATGATTTTCAGTGGTAGTGGATATAATGTGCAGTCAATTTTTTGGGAGGTATTTGGAGGAAAAAAAGTGCATTATATTCAGCTGAATACAGTAAATCAAGAAAAACCTTAAATTTGAACACCAATATTAACAGTAAATCTGAGAGGTTTTGTATAACATGTTTGACCTGCCACAAAAGTTTACATTGGTCAAACTCTAAAGAAACTGTGTGAATTCATTGCCAACAAATTTTGGATCCAACACGTAATATTCCACTGAGTGAACATTTGGACACTTGTTGCAATAATTTTTCTATTCTACAAATGTTTGGAAATGGTTTAATAGAGTAGAAAGCAAAAGACAAGTATTTCATAAAATTATTCCAGCCAGCACTTAATTGTTAAAAATATCAAGTTTATATATGGAGTTGTCTCTTTTAATTATTAGTGTATGTCATTTATTTTTATTTAATTTTTCACTTCATCTTTGATGTGCCATAATTAGAACTATTATTAATGTCTGAAGAGTCCACCTTAGATAAAAGTGCATTCATTAAATACAAAATTAAGGAATGTCTAGTTATTTTGAATTATTTTATTCTTATGCATTTCATCTGTACCATCTTTACAAACTTTTT